CCTTATCATACCGGGGGGGTGGTGGGGGGCTCCGTCCTTACAGGCAGAAGGGGGTGTAGAGCAGAGGATTCAATGTCACTATATGTGTGTTACTCTATATAACAAATACCTCTGCTTACCATCAGGACCACTTACATACTGTACTGTATACTGGACTGATACAAAGGGGGAGGGGATGCCCAACTGGGATCCAGGAGGCTGAGAGGAGTAGGGACTCTGACCCCACAGATGATAGGAGTCAGAACTTGTCTTTAATGTGTAAGGACAATATGTTATATGAATTGTATTGTATTACTTGTTGCTGATGACTGTTAGTAATGTGTAGATATTTTCCCCTGTTTTTGTCTATTATAATCATTCTAATATGTATGACTTGTTGGTCAGTATGGTCAATTGAAGACACATAGACAAGAGAACCTGTCTGCATATTGAACACCCAATTATATGCCGAGGGATTTATAAATGGTATCGGATTTGCTTTTGCACACGATTGGATAATCGGCATGAACACAACTTCAGCAAGCTACATGAGAATCACACTCCAATAGTAAATAAGACACAGCAAGGGCTCTGTAAAGCAGTCATCTGACTTTCACCAGACATTCCCTGGCAGAGAATCAATCACTGTCATTTCAAAATACACGGACCTGGAAGATTCCCCCGCAGAGAATGTTTGCTGAATATCAGATTCAAAGGCTCCAAGAGATATTAAAAACTTCCTCGGAATCTGCATCAGAGGAGCTTACACTCTAATGTCCCACTACAGTCACGCACCATTATTATTATACATGTATATAGCTCTGACATATACCGCAGTGCTGTACAGAGAACACTGAGCCATTCCAATTAGTCTTTGCACCAGAGGAGCTTACACTTTATTGTTGCACCACACTCTTGCACTACTATTATTATTATACATTTATATAGCGCTGACATCTCCTGCAGTGCTGTACAAAGAACACTGAGCTACATTAGTCACTGCACCGGATGAGCTTACACTCTAATGTCCCACTACAGTCACACACTATTATTATACACCTATATAGCTCTGACATATTCAGTAGTGCTGTACAGAGAACACTGAGCCATTCCAATCATTCTCTGCATCACAGGAGATTACATTCTATTGTATTATAATAATAGTGTGTGACTGCAGCGCAAGATTTATATAGCGCTGACATATTCTGTACAGGGAACACTGAGCCAGTCACACCAGTCTCTGCACCAGAGGAGCTTACACTCTAATGTCCCCACCACAGTCATACACTATTATTATACATTTATATAGCGCTAACATATACCGTAGTGCTGTGCAGAGAACACTGAGCCACATTAATTTCTCTGCACCAGAGGAGCTTACACTCTAATGGCCCCCCCCACAGTCACACACTGTTATTATACATTTATATAGCGCTGACATCTTCTGCAGTGCTGTACAGGGAACACTGAGCAGCTCTTCTCAGTCTCTGCACCAGAGGAGCTTACACTCTAATGTCCCCTCACACACGCACACTATTATAATAACTATATAGCTCTGACATATGCCGCAGCGCTGTATAGGGAATATTAAGCAATTCACAACCATATCTAAACTGTTTGAATTGGATTTGGACATTATTGTGCCATATCGGCTTTGCCCCCGGTCTGGCAGTCTGTGTCCTCTTCCGTTATCTGAATGGTAGCGATTTCGGCTTCACCTCTGACATTCTTCTTCCCGCCCGCAGAAAAGAAAAAGTGCAAAAGAAAAATCTACTGTGAGATTACACATCACTTGATGGAGAACCACAAAATGTGGAAGAAAGTGATCGAAGAGGAGCAGAAGACGGAGGCCGTAGAGAAGGAGCCAACGTCGGAGCCAATCCAGGCCATCCGGGAGGAGGAGGAAGTCAACGCCAAACAGGAGAACTCGGACGCCGTAACGGACGAGTGAGCGCTGCCGCCATTGCCGCAGCAGCAGACTCTAAACGACGCCGCTCTCTCCAGCCAGCACAAAGCTTAGACACGACACTGTAGAGATGACGACCATGTGCCTCCACCCGTTTCTTGTGTTTTTCTATATACACGGGGAGATCCTTTTTCCGATCTCGTTATACTCAAGGACGCTACGGCACTGCTGCGCGACCGTCTCCAGAGACTAGACGCAAGGGACTGCCAGGAGACGGCGGGACAGCCGCACATTTCAGAAATCTATATTTAATACCTATATACCTATGTATGTTTCTTTTTATTAAACACACACCTGCAGGAGAAGTGTGGGGACGTATATATATATGTAGCTGTACATATATATATATATCTACAGTCACTGTGAACAAAATGATGTCTAGACTTAAATAGTGCTTATCCAGCACATATATTTTTAAAGGGAACTGTCACTTGTTTTAATATTTTTTTTCTTTTAAATTCTTCCCGCCAAAAACCTCCCGTCCAATGGCGCCACTTCCCCCCCACCACCACCTTGTATTAACCCTGCTGGCCATTACTTAGTTAACACAAGATGGAGCCCCCAACTCCCCGCGGGCCGCGCCGTTCCATTCCGGGTGTCCTTCCGAGTGGCGGAAAATGCACGGACGCCCCCCGCTCTGCGGTTTTATTTCGTCGACATTCCTTTCACCATAAAAGAAAATGTTGAAACCTTTTTTTTCCCCCCAAATCTTGAAAAATTGTCGCATGGACTGTAAATATTTTAATTCTTGTGCCAAAACCGTTGTGAAAAAGAAAAAAAAAAATCTACTTACTGATTTTCTAATTTCGAAAATATTTTTTTTTTATAAACCTAAAAATTGAATGTTTGACAGGATCTGACAACTCAGGGTAGACCATTGTATTCTGAAAATACACATTATTTTACTCTAAGCCGATTGTTGTTTCTTTGTGATGAATTGCGCTGACAATGTTTAGGGTTGGGTCTTGATGTGCTAAATGCCTCGATTTTGTTGGTTTGGGTAAAGATATGAGACAACGGCGTTCTGAGAGCACGGCGGAGATGCTTCAGCTGTGCCAAAGTGCTCTGGTGTTCACTGATCACTGACCGCCCAGTGTTCACCAATCCATGACTGGTATAGCGGGAAGCCAGTTCCATTCCTGGATCCAGAATATGCAATGTAACCGATCTTACACCAGGCACATACTGTATGGACAGATCTGCGATGAAATTATGAAAGTGTCAATATTTAATTCTGAACACCGGGATAAGCAAATATTGTCCTCATACAAGAGTCATGTGTATTCATCCTGGAATCTTGGTGAGCTTTGTGTATTTCTTCCAGATTTGTGCAGTAACTTGGAGCTTCTTGTAATAAAGACCGATCACTGCCTCTCTCTCATCTTGTGCAGGATGACTGGTCTTGCCTTCGCCCCCTCCTGTAATAAAGACCGATCACTGCCTCTCTCTCATCTTGTGCAGGGTGACTGGTCTTGTCTCCGCCCCTCCTGTAATAAAGACCGGTCACTGCTGCTCTCCTTGTGCAGGGTGACTGGTCTTGCCTTCGCCCCCTCCTGTAATAAAGACCGATCACTGCCTCTCTCTCATCTTGTGCAGGGTGATTGGTCTTGTCTCTGCCCCCTCCTGTAATAAAGACCGATCACTGCCTCTCTCTCATCTTGTGCAGGGTGATTGGTCTTGTCTCTGCCCCCTCCTGTAATAAAGACCGATCACTGCCTCTCTCTCATCTTGTGCAGGGTGACTGGTCTTGTCTCCGCCCCTCCTGTAAATGTCTAGACTTAAATAGTGCTTATCCAGCACATATATTTTTAAAGGGAACTGTCACTTGTTTTAATATTTTTTTTCTTTTAAATTCTTCCCGCCAAAAACCTCCCGTCCAATGGCGCCACTTCCCCCCCCCCACCACCTTGTATTAACCCTGCTGGCCATTACTTAGTTAACACAAGATGGAGCCCCCAACTCCCCGCGGGCCGCGCCGTTCCATTCCGGGTGTCCTTCCGAGTGGCGGAAAATGCACGGACGCCCCCCGCTCTGCGGTTTTATTTCGTCGACATTCCTTTCACCATAAAAGAAAATGTTGAAACCTTTTTTTTCCCCCCAAATCTTGAAAAATTGTCGCATGGACTGTAAATATTTTAATTCTTGTGCCAAAACCGTTGTGAAAAAGAAAAAAAAAAATC